CTGACTTATCTATTTATTTTTTAAGAAGAAGTAGATCTTTTAGGATTATTTACTATGTAAATTACAAACAGAAATTTGTAAGTTTTAAACAAATAGGTTTAACCTTGTTTACTTTGCCACTTGGAAATTTTTCTACTAGAATGTATAAACCATTCTTTGTAACTCTGCATTGGTCCAAAGTAGTAATCTTGAAACTTTTTAGTCACATACCCATATGGGAATTCTCAAAAATTTTGTACTCTTTGTACATTTTTAAGTTGACAACTAAATTTTTTAAGCAGAAGTTTACATAGTTGGAAAGTATGTAATTTTCAGGATGTTTCACTTTTACCACATAAAATAATAGTTATATCAGTTCTTTAAATGTATCCAAATGCTTCTAAATATATAGCATTTTGATTCCTATTATCATTTACTTAAAAAAATGCATGAACAAGCTGTTCTTTATCATTGGAAATGTAAATCTTTCTTTTGATCCCTTGAGCCCTCATTTCTATTCCATTTGTCATAGACTTTTATCCTAATGGATTGTATTTTTAAACTTGAAAGGTTTTTTCCTTGGGTAAATTATCATATTTCTGTAACAAGTATGTAAACTTAAATTTTGATGTTAAAAGTTTCTGTAACCAAAGGATCCTAAGTATAACTTGGTCCAGAGGAGATTTATCATCACAATTACTAGTAGTACCCAGTTGATCACCTTTGTCACAATTTTTGACAAATTATTACCAATCATAAAAGTTGAATCGGATTGGATTTGGGGGAGGGGGGCTGCTTGGCTTGTGGGATCTTAGTTCACCAACCAGGGATTGAACCTGAGTCCTCTGCTGTGGAAGCACAGAGTCTTATTCACTGAACTGCCAGGGTATTCCCTGGAAGTGTTTTTCTAGTGAGATTATTTGCTCTATTATTTTCCTTGATTAGATTCTAAATCTGTGAGTAACAAATTTTTTTGCTGCTATGGAAAGGATTTAACAATATTTATTTCTGTTGTTTTCATAGATAATAACAGCCAAAAAGCCCTATTCACACAGCTGCTTATGTGAGAATGGAAGCTTTATTATAGTAATGTATTCAGTTCTTAAGTTCTATGCTAAGAATTCCATAACTCAGTATTATTAAAATTTATTTTTAATGTCCTATCAGATGACAACCTCATTATGACCTCTTTCAATTTTGGAAAATCAAAGAATTGGAAACTCCCTAACCTGGAAAGGATTTGTTAGTCATTTAGGGGCCTGCTTTGGTTTCATGGACGTGTGGTATTTTCTTTCATCCTTATGAGGAAAATAGCATACTTCTTTTTAAAAGTCTAGCTGTATCAGCACTGTTTCCCTGAGTGATGATTTATTCTCTTTGAATGTGATGTCTTTTTTTCGGTAGTGGTTCTCCTGAGTTATTTGGCCATGCTGTCTGTTTGCGAGTCCCTGTGATACATGACTGTTTGCCACCGCCTGCCTCTGGCAGGGACGTGACAGTGCTGCCAGGTGTAGTGTGGGGCTCCCCCGCAGCTCCTCTGGGTATCACCGTTCACCCGGTGAGCAGGCTTCCTCTTGTGCCAAAGCATTCAGTGTCTTTTCCCATCTGGGGATTGGCAGAAAGCTGGCTGTTGCGGGTGAGGAGGGAGAGCGTGGGGGAGGCAGGGACTGGTGTGGCAGCTTTTCCTGAAGTGCCACCGTTGCGGCTGTCTCCAAGCCTCGAGTTACCTCCAAGGAGTGCTCTTTCCTTACTGTGCCTTCTTTGGGCTGGGGTTTCTTCTCAGGGTGGTCTGTTGGCTTCATTTACTTGGATATTTCTTGTAATTTCTGGTCTGCTAGGGGGTACTCTTCTTGATTTCTAGATCTTTTTTAAAAATCAATCTTTCCTGCTGCTTCTGACTGCTTGTGATAGCATGTTGAAGCTGGCCTGTGAGCTTCAGTCTGCTATCTGTCCACTCTAAGGTGCTCAATTAAAACAGTAGTTTACATCTGTGAAAGTCTTCCTTTTAATCCCTGTCTCTGGTTCCCTGCACTTCGTTCCTTAGCAGTTAGCAATGAGGTTTGGTATATGTTTTTCCATATTTTTCCTGATTATTTATGTGTGTTGTTTTTCATAGTGCTGTTATGTCATACTTGCTTTTACTTTATTCTCTTCTTTTTTTAAAAGCAACATGATATATATATATATATATATATATATATTAATATTTATTTATTTGGCTGCATTGAGTCTTAGTTGCAGCACATGAGATCTTGGTTACATCACATGGGATCTTTCATTGTAGCACGCAGGCATGTGGGATCTAGTTCCCCAACCAGGGATTGAACCCCTGTCACCTGTGTTACAAGGCAGATTCTTAACCACTGAACCACCAAGGAAGTCCCTGATTATATTTTAATATATGTGCTTTTTTCTTTAATAGCATTTGGCATCCTGAAATCTTCCCATATTAGCTACCTCATTTCTTGTAATAGCTGCATCTTATTTCACAGCTTAGTGAATCTCCTGGTAGGCATTTGTTACTTTTAAAACAATGCCACAATAAGCATCCTATTTACTTTCATTTTTGTGTACTTTTATATCTTTTTCATAAACTACCTACCTAAAATGAATTGTTACACTGGTATTTCAAAATTTGGTAAACTGTCAGATTTTCTCACAGAAAGTTTGTTTAAATTTATATTTCTCCAGTAGTGTATGAGATTACCCTTTTTCTTACACCTTTGCCGTCAAGGGCTATTATCAAATTTAAAAAAGATTTCATCATACTTATAGCCAAAAGATGATATCATTTTGTAATATGCATTTTCCTATAGTCTACATTTTATTTTCTTTTTGCAAATTGCATTTTAAACTGAGGTAAATTTTTGAAAATAGGCACTCTTTCTTGAGCTAGGAAGAATACATTTTATAAGCTTACTGTATGAGTGTGAATTTATTTATGTGAAATATGTTCTAGCTCATGTTTGTTCTCTCTCTTGATAAGTAGAACACAATATGTGAAACCCTAGCATGGTGCATGATGCATGCTGGGTATTTAAGAAAAGTCTGTTATCTTTCATTCCTTTTATTTTCCTCCTCTTGTTCCAGTTAATTGATATTTTCTTTTCAGTCTGCCTTATTCTTTTAGGTTTTTCTCTAGTTGTTCCTCTGTTACCTAAAATAACAGAATGAATGATCTTTTCAGTGAGTTTATGTGAAAGATTTCTGCCTTGGGTTTGTGAGACCCAGAAGTTTGGGCTAGACTTTTACTTGTCTTATGAAATATCTGTCTGTGAGGTTAAGAGGATTTGCAGGAACTTCTGGGGTTGGCAGGCTAACTGCAGAGCTAGGCAGGTTGCTGAATGTTAGATATAGTCAGAGCTTTTCAGAAAGGTTATATGTCTTCAAATTGATCTGTATAGTAAGAGCAGTCAGTATCCCATCAGAATTATTTTTTATAAATCAACAACTGTCTTTAAAATTTATATGGAAAAGCAAAAACACTGAACTATAACAACACAATTTTGGAAAAGACCTAATTTGGAGGACACACATGATGTCACTTTAAGATTTTATAAAATACAATTTTAATTGTATTGTGGTACTGGCAGATGGAGAAGTTTATAGATTAGTGGAACAGGAGAGTCCAGAAACAGACCTACATGTAATATGGTCAATTGCACCTTTTCAACAAAGGTGCAAACCAATCAGTGGAATAAAGGAACAATCAGATATCAATGTACAAAAATGTGAACCTAGACCTATATCGTAACACTACATAAAAATGGGCTCATTGTGAAACCTAAATGAAAACCATAAAACTTGTGGAGGAAAACTTGTGGAGAAAATCCTGTGACCTTGTGTTAGGGAGAAATTTCTTAGATACCCCACCAAAATCATGGAAACATGAAGGAAAAACTGTAAACTAGACTTTATCAAAATGGAAGGCTTTTGCTGTTCAACAGACACAGTTAAGAAAATGAAAATATGTTTCTTGGGTGTATGTTTTTGCAAAATACCTTAATTGAGAAAATATTTGCAAAACTCACCTGATAAGGGTTTGTATTCAGAAAAATAAAGAATCTTCAAAATTCAATAATAAGAAAATACACAACCCAATTAAAAAAAAAATAGTCCCCCAAATCTGACCATTCAGTTAATCAAAGAAAATTAAAGACTGGCAAATATATGAAAGGATGCTCAGTGTCCTCAGTTATTAGGAATGAGACACCAGGTATATTGTTGTTTTTGTTTAGTCGCTAAGCCGTGTCCAACTCTTTGTTACCCTATGTACTGTAGCTCGCCAGGCTCCTCTGTCCATGGAATTTCCCAGGCGAGAATACTGGAGGGGGTTGCCATTTCCTTCTCCAGGGATCGAACCTGCATCTTCAGTTTGTCAGGCAGATACTTTACCCTTGAGCCACCTAGGAAGCCCACATGGTCTCTATTAGAATAGCTTTTAAAAAAAAAAAAAAGCCCACTGCTTCCAGAAGTGCTGCAGGTGACCTCCAGGTAATCGTCATGTACAGAAGCAGTGATGGGACCCCATACTTTTAAATGTGGCAGTTGTTTTATTTCTTTTTGGTTGCATCGGTTCTTAGTTGCTGACCAGGGGACAGGCCTGCGTCTTCTGCATTAGAAGGTAGATTCTTAACCACTGGATCACCAGGGAAGCCTGTGTGCTTGGAGTATTTGGCTTGAGTCACTGGTTCTAAACCACTGGTGCTTTGTGGTAATTCATTGAGTGTAATGATAGTCTTTGACAGTGTACAGGGCAGGGAAGACTTTGACTTGCTGTAAGGAAGGCTTCTGCTGTAGTTGTGGCTCCTATTAGAGTTTGAATGCCGTAGAAATTAATGACTCAGTTCTGTTCTCTGTTTTTGGGTTTCCTTTCATTCGATCTTCAAATTTTGGACAGATTTTATCTGCTGTAAGCTAACGCTATGAAGAGTGACAAAAATTCCAGTAGTTAGACAGTAGTGGCATCTGTTTTTCATTTTTCTGTCCGAGTGGGTAATTATTCTTTGTGGTCGTTGCAGGTACTCCATCTTCTCAAGCCACAGTGCTCGCTAACGGTGACCACGGAATAGAACGGAATGATGTTACTGGTAAGTGGTTCCCGGGGTCCTCAAATGTGTGGGTGAAACAGTCATGGTAAACATCTAACACCTTGATCAGCTCCTTTGAGGTGGATTGTTAGTGGAAGCATATGGATTATTTGTCAGGGTACTCTTATTCTTGGTGGTTGTATTTAAATCCAGGGCATCTGCCCCATAACATTTCCAACAACGGAGAGAGTGAATTTCATTTGATATTCTGTGAGTATTTTTTACAGTTGTACCACTCAAGAGCTGGATCAATCTTAATAATACACTTTTTTTAATATAATACACTTTTGATGCAGAAAGACCGCCATCAGAATATGTAGCGTTGGCTGCCACAGCTCTTTGAGCAGGTCTTGTCCCTGACTTCTGTCCACACTGTGCTTAGTTTGCTTTTCATGGGTCACTGCTAGGAAATTTGTGAGCTGGAAATTGAAGGTTCTTTCCTTTCTCTTGGGCCCTCAGTCTGTTTTGTCTTTATTTTTTCCCTTAACTGTTACTTTGAAATTTATCTGTAATGCCTAGCCCATTACCAGGACTAGCACTGAGTTAACTGGTTTCCCCTGTGTATTTGTAGTGAGCAAAATTTTCGAATCAGTAGCAGGGTCCACAGGGATGTATTCTGTAAATAAATTGTTTAGGTAGCTAATATGAGAGCCATACTGAATTTTTAAAAATAATTGCACTTAATTTGCTTAATTGAGCAATCAGGCTCATGCTGTTGACCCAAATGAAAAGACTTCTGTTCAACTGGGGCATAACGTTTGCTTCACATTACTGCAGGGAGGCCGGCACTAGCCGTGGCTGTCTTTCTCTTCTTGCATGCATACCTCAGCCTTTCGAAGCGCTGCCTTGAGTTATCAAAGGATTTCTCAGTTCCTCAGGCTTCTGTACAGCCTTCTGTTAGCAATATCAGTTATTCTAGGATTTACTCTTTATCCTGATTCTGTGACCTTTAGAAATGTTGTATACATCTTTATACCTTAGGTTTATTGATGACTAGGTTCTTTTTTTTTTCCCCCTCCCTCCACTCAGGTTCTATTTTTATGAATGTTAGTTTGACCCAGTGACAGTAAATCCTTACTAGTGACTCATTAATTAGGAGCTCTTTACTTTAAAAGCTGGAAACAACCAGAAGTGCAAATTTACTTATCTGTTTTGTGAACTAAAATTTTTGTGATTTTTTTTTTTTTAAATAATCTTAGTTCATATGTAGTATTGACTGTTTCTGTGCCTGCTTTGAAAGCAGAGGTCTATATAAGCTTTAAGAAAGGCTTTAAGAAAATATTTAGAGAAATATCCCCATGACTAAAGGAGAAGAAGTTTAAACGTTAACTTTTTAAAAACGAATAGGTTCCACTTTCTTTAACAAGGAGGTAGTGCCAGGGGAAAAAGGGATTGACTTGGTTAGCCACTGGGAAGAATGAATTCCATTTTCATCTAGGAAGGAAATGACTATCACCACTAGAGTAGGTTTCTTCTCTAGCAGGATGTCAGGTCTGACCAGAGGAGACTTAAACATGATGTAGCAATTTTTTCCCACTGCCACAGCTTAATAGTGCAGGAAAAAAACAGAAAAACAAAACAGGAAAAACACGCAGCCTGACCCTTACTGTTTGGAGACTTTAGTTCTGTGGCATCAAAAAAAAGAACCCAACTGTTTATGAACTGTCCGCTGCCATTATGGGAGCAGGTCTTTCTGCTTTTGGACACCTCCCCACCCTAGTGTAGAATATAGTTTGCACACCTCGGGAGATGCTATCTTCTGAATTTGACCTCTTGACTATGTTAAAGCAGGTGCTTTACTGAAAACATGCATGTTTCAATTGGGGATGGAAAGGGGTAAGAAGCGGGCAAAGAGTGCATGTTTGCGGAGCATGTTGTGACAGCATCCTAATTTGGCCCTCACTAACTGGAGCATGTAGCTTTGTGCCATTTTGAAATTTCCCATTTCTGTTTCTTCAGAGTGTTATCTATAGTTCTAAGAGCAGACCTGCTCTGCTGACAGTGTATAAGGATTTATGAGCATCTTGCTATGTTGAACTTGCTGTTTACTAATGACCTGTGCTTTTCCGTCCTTTCCTTCCCCTTCCTACTTCTCCCTCCCTTTCTATTTTTCTCCTCCTAGAAGCCTAGCGTGTCTCTCAACACTGGGGCTGCTGCAACACCAGACCAGTGGTCTTTCCTAAGCACCGTTACACTTGTAAAACCTTCAGCATTTTGCAGAGCTTTGCTTTCCTTCCTGGACACGATATAGAAGAACCTGAGGGTAGTTCTTCGGGGCCCATTTCTGCTGATTCCTGAGCAAACCACCTGCTTCCTTTTGTGCTCCGCAGGGCTTGATGGAACCTGCTTTCCCTTTGTGAGCTCAAAGTACCAGATGGATTTTTTTTTTAATCCTAGTGTTTTTATGAGGGTTGTCCAGTGTCTTTTATTTCTCGTTCTCTTTTAAAATTCATTTTATCATTCAGTTCAGTCTCACATTTTTTTTTTCTTTAAACATTTTTAGTTGGCCTTTTTCATTTGGTTTTCCGATCTTCAACCTGCATCAGGGTACTGTAAGAGCAAATGAGATGGTGTGCTTTCATAAAGGGATCGAGTCCACCAGTACTGCAGTGAACCTCCCTCTTCCTCTCCTTCTTCCCTCTGTAAGCTTGTTTTTAGGGTAGATTCATCCTTCAGGCTACCTGTTTCTCTCCACCTTACTAACATTTGAATAATGATAGCTGTTTTAATTTGAAGTTTTCTAATTTAGAGTAGTTCTGATTAAACTTTGAAAAATATTCGCTTAAATGAAATCATCCTTTGTTATTTGCAATTTGGGCTGAAATTGTTTCTGTTATGAAATTATGATCTATTTGTGCAGGATTACATGCTCCTAAAAATTTGACAGCCTTGTTATTATGTATGGAATTTCATATCCAAAATTTCTTTCTTAGCTTGATCATGAGCTATCAAAGAAAAAAACTTGGTAAGTTAAGGAAAATGGAATCCTATATTGTTACTGGGATGTTGATACAGATAGAAGATAGCTTTCTGTAGCAACCTGAGAAGTTAAATGGCAACACATTGAAGAACTGCAACCAGTTACCAGGTTTCTAATGAAATGATTATCTGAGTAGACGCAAGCCCTGTTCAGAGTTTGCCTCCTTTAGAACTCTGGTGGTGTCTTTGTGTAGCCTGAGGTGGAACTGGTGGGTCACATATGAAGACTTGTGTGTTAAGTCCTTTACCATAAACCTCAGCATTTATTTTTACACACTCTGAGGATTGTCCCGGTTGGAATTTCTTTTTTCTCATTCCTCATTTTTCCAAAATAATGGCTAAAAAAATCTGAAACCATCTGGGACATACACTGTGGAGCTTTTAAAATGATAAGCTTTGATTGGGTTTTTAAAAGTAGAATATGAAGCGTGGGCCATGCTTTGATATTGTAGAGGAGTTCTGGTTTAAGATCTCGCATGTGAGACACTCTTTAAAAGTTCCTGTCCTCTTACTGACTGTGTAGGCTTCTATAACCACTAAGCTGCTGGTTGTTTCAGACTGAATATTTAGCACTGTGTTCTGAGGAAGATTTCAAGATGTACGTTTAGATCCTCTGATACAAAGTACATTTGGGATGTGAAAGTTAGAATGTTGTGGAATTTAAACCAAGTCTCTGCAATGACTTCTAGAATTTAGAAAGTGTTCCCTCCTGTGGCCATAAGTGTTTGTTCCTTTGCCAGGAGTTCCTTCTGTGGGTTCTGGAGAGAAGACAGTTAACAGGAGGCACATTTTAGAGGAAGTGCTTAGCCTTACCTTCTAAGTAGTTGATAAATATGAAAACTCTCCCATTGGAGAAAAATCTGAAAAATAGCACAGGAGAGCAGAACATCAAATAAAACATAACTCTTTCCCTTCGGTATGTGGTTGTCTCATATGTTTTTCTGGTGCCCCCCCCCTTTTTTTTTCTGGCAAAGGAACTTTTTAGAACTGATAGTGGTAACTTTAAAAAGTCATACTTGACATCCTTTTGCAGTATCCACAGCTTGTCTAGGTAACAGGTGGGTAGAAAAGCCTGGGTGCAAGCCCTGTGGTATGGCTGGGTTCAGAAACACACACTCATGCTTCATTATTGACACTGACTTATTCCACTTTAATTTCCTTTTTGTCATATTTATTTTTCTTTGAAATTTGTTTTTGTTTTCTAAATACGTTTTCATTTTGAATTTATGGAATTGTCGAAAATTTCTACTAATAGCCAGCTAAACTTTCATATGTATTGTTAGCTGTATTTCACTTGGATGTTTCATTTTGAAGGAAATATATGTAATATTTCATATATAGCTTCATATGAAGTCCTGTAATAAAATGTTGTATTGCCATGATGGTCATACCCAATGGCCCAGGATCTCACTGGGGTAGCCAGTGAGGTAGCCAGACTGATAAAGGTTGCTCTATTGAAATGGTGGTTTCTTATATGCAATCTCTCTTTCTCTCTCTCTCTCTTATTCTTCTTTGGCCCAATGTAGAGCTTTGTTTTTAAATAATATTTTTATAACTTTATTTACACTTCTAAGTTTGTGTTTTTTGTGATTATAGATTTCAACGGTTTTGTGCATTGGAACATTTTTATGTGATCACTGTGCTAAATAAATCACACTAATAAACATCTTACACTAACACTATATGGACTGGATTTTGGCTGGGTTCTTAATTATTGAAGTATAACGTGACCAGAACATGAGATTTGTAAATAAAGACCCTTGTGCTTTTGGTCTAACAAAGCTTCTAATTTGACCCATAATAATTCCATAATTACTTGGTTTTTTACTTTCTGCCAGCTACCTTCATTTACATTGTCATTTTAGACAGAATGTACTCCCTTTTATCTGCAATCTATAAGAGTTAAGAAACCGAAATAATTACTTGATATTTTATAGCATCTGATAAGAAAGATAGTTGGCAGAGTAAGCAGTTTGTGGTTTGTTGTTCAGCAGCTAGGTTGTGTTTGACTCTTCTGTGAC